TAGACAGTAATAGCATGATCATAATGCAATCTGAAATTCCTTTTTGCTGTGGATTCCTAACCTTCAAAAATTTCCTTGGAATCTCATTGATTCTTTTCCAATTTCCTGCGCTCAATTCCTTCTGGGTATCTGTTCACCCTCTCTATGAATTTGCTTGCAAATGTTTGATTCCACCAATGGCTCTATGCTACTGTAAGTTGCCATTGTTACTTGAACACAAAATATTATAAAATAGGATCTGGGAAGTGACTTCAAAATAGAAATAAAGACTTTTCTTTATATAGCACACTTCACAACCACTGAACAACACAAAGTACTTTTTGCAGTGTAGTCACTGTTGTATTGTAGGAAATGCAGCCAGTTGAATGTGGCAGGCCCTTCTCAGCAAGGGGCCCAACAATCACTTTCCTAACTTCCCACAAAGTTCTGCCACATGTGATTGGGTCCCGAGGATAGGTTCAGAAAAGATTTACAAGGATGTTGCCGGGTTTGGAGAGTTTGAGCAATAGGGAGAGGCTGAATAGGCTGGGACTATTTTCTCTGGAGAATCAGAGGCTGAGAGGTGACCTTACAGAGGTTTACGAAATTATGAGGGGCATGGCTAGGGTGAATAGTCAATATCTTTTCCCCAGGGTAGGGGAATCTAAAACTAGGGGGCATAGGTTTAAGGTGAGAGGGCAAAAATGTATAAGGGACCTGAGGGTCAGCTCCTTCATGCAGAGGATGGCGCGTATATGGAATGAGCTGCCAGAGGAAGTGGTGGAGGCTGTTACAAATACAACATTTAAAAGGCATCTGGATGGGTACGTGAACAGAAAGGTTTTAGAGGGATGTGGGCCAAATGCTGGAAAATGGGACTAAATTAATTTAGGATATCTAGTTGGCATGGATGAGTTAGACTGAAGCGTTTGTTTCTGTGCTGTACATCTCTGTGACTCTATGACACTGCCTGACAGTAGATGCAATGGTGGCTTTCGAAGGAGAATTAGACCATTGAAGAGGAAGAATTTAGGGAGCTATGGGCAAAAGGAAGGAATATGGCTGAGGTGAGTCACTGATGCACAGATCTAGTAGGCCAAGTTATCTTCTTCTGTGTTACAACCATTCTTTGATTCTAGATTGTCAACAGAAATCTGTTGGAATCCGACTGTGTGTATTGTAATGATCAATTGCTTCATTCCAGTTTCCTTTTATGGTGTGGGAATCTTGCTGGGCTGGTTCCTATTGGGAACAGGAACTCATTAAATGACTTCTGAATAATAATTTCCTGTATACCTCATTATTTTACAATTCTCATTCTTGTTTCCAAAACGCTCCATGACCTTGCTGTTCCATGTCTCTGTAACTGCATTCAGCTGGACAATATTCCAAGATCTCACGTTCTCTCCAGTTCTGGACTCTTGAACATCTGCAGTTTTAGTGTCTGGGCCATTGGTGATCATATCTTTCAAATATCATCATCCCACACTCTGAAATTCCCTTGTTAAACCTTTCTGCCTCTCTCTGTTCCTTTAAGACTCTCCTGAAACCCTTCTCTTTGACCAAGCTTTTGGTCATCTGTCCTTCTATCTTCTTAACGTGGATCAATGTGACGATTTTCATTGAGCCATTTTACTGCATTAAAAACACTATATAAATGCAAACTACTGTTTGCTTTGTAGCCCTGCTTTACATTCTTTGCATGGTATATACCAATTAGCAAAACTGTCAAAGAAGATAAACTGAAGCAACTAGATACATTCAATAATGGAGAACATGCCTTGCCTATGAATGGGATGAATTACATCAATTAAAACCATTCCTTCCAGTTCAACTACAGGAAATAATTGGACAAGTGAGGCGGGTCTTGAAATTAACCAGTTACATTCCTGACACTATTTCAGGGCTCATAGAAGAGTATATAGGGCCATGTGTATTCAACCAGATATGGGTGCCAGAACTGAGGGATAGGCAGCAAATATTCCCCAGACATCAATAGTCAGATGTGCATAAGAATTAATAGATACTACCAATGGGAAAAAAACTATTTGGTAAATTAGGGTTAACTGTTGCAAAGGTAAAAATAAAGTCTCCATAGTCCCAGGGGGCCATAGAGCTGCTCTCTCATTAGACAGAGATTGCTGGTGTGGCTTAACCTGAGGGTCACCATGCCTCAGGTGAAGGAAGAAGTTGAGAAGGAGAGTCATTCATGGTAACCTCAGCCAATGAGGTATCACTAATTTTAAAATAAGCCTTAAAGGAAAGAGAGAGAAATTAATTACAGGTGACAAGCTGGGAGAGACATTGTGAAAACAAAATTGATGTATTCTAACTATGAGTACAGTTTTACTCTAAATAGTCCTGGAAGTTGTTTTTGGTTTTTGAAATGTTAATATCTTTCGTAATTTTTATTTGCAGTCTTGTGATTCTTATTTAGGGTGCAGTTGAATCCACAATGTGATTTGTAATGGTTGTAAGAATATTATTCATCTTGTGTTCATTTCTATGATCTGCCTCTTTTCCTGTGCCATTTTTTAATCCTCTGTCTTTAGATCTTCCATATCTGCTTTAACGAACTGTAATGAAGTCACACTTCAGGACCAGATCTAAGCAGATCTAAGTTCTAGCAAGAGGACTGAAATACAACAGAACTACTTTCTGTGTATAGATTATACAGACAGACTTAATTTTGGCACCGTGAAAATTTCAATTAGCTTCAGGAACAAAACAACCAAAGTAATTCTGAATTGACCTCAAGGTAGAACCCAAATAATTTTTCACACTGGGGAGAAACTAACCAAATAGGGTTGTGCCAAAAACAGGAACTCTGCCCTTCCTGTCAAATTAAACAGTGATGGGCATCCTGCTTAACCAGTAAACTAACAGTGATATAAAACAAAGAACTACGGATGTTGAAGATCTGAAACAAAAACAGAAATTGCTGGAGAAACTCAGCTGGTTTGGTATCATCTATGGGAAGAAAACAGAGTTAACGTTTCAAGTTCGGTGACTCTTCATCAGAACCATTAACAGCTCGGAAGAAATGGTATTTATGCTGAAGTGGAAAGGTGTTGCTTGGGTAGAGGAAAGGTGAGCAGATAGGTAAAGGAGTCCAGAGAGAGAGAGAACTATGAAAGGGGTAAGTGAACAAGGAGATTGTGGATAGCAGGTCAGGATGGAAGAAAAGCTGAATAAATTACAATAAGAGCTAAGAGTTAGAAAATGGGTGAGCTGTGCTGAATGCAGTACATATAATGTTATAATGGGCCTGGGAGTACGTTAGAATGGGTAACTGTTCTAAAAGTACAGGAAAAATTTATCAATTTCACTTCCAATTTCCATCCTGCCCTCACCTTCAACCGGTGTACCTCCGACTCCTCCCTTGGCTTCCTCGTCATCTCTGTATCTATTTCTCAGGATAGGCTTGCCACCGATATTCGCTACAAACCCACTGACTCCCTTAGTTATCTCAACTATGCATCCTCATACCCTGCTTCCTGCAAGGATTCCATCCCATTTTCCCAGTTACCCTACTTCTGTCACATCTGTTCTAATGATGCCACTTTCCGCAAAGGGGCCTCAGAAATATCCACCTTTTTTCTGAACTGAGGATTCCCCATTACCATGGTCATCAGGGCCCTTAGCTGTGTTTGACCAATCTCCTACACTTCTGCCCTCAGCCCTTCCCTTCCCTTCCCTCCTGCAACAATGATAGGGTCCCCCGGCCCTCACTTGCCACCCCACCAGCCTCTACATCCAAAAGATTGTAAGCCACCATTTCTGTCACCTCCAACTGGATTCCACAACCAGACACACATTCCCCTCCTTTCCTTTGTCAGCATTCCGCAAGGATTGTTCCCTCTGGGACACTCTGGTCCACTCCTCCTCCATTCCCAATAACTCCTCTCACCCCCAGGCCCCTGCCCATGCAATTCCGAAGGCATAATACCTGCCCGTTTACCTCCTCCCTCTTCACCATCCAAGGCCCTAGACACAGCTTCCGAGTGAAGCAGTGATTTACCCGTATTTCATTGAATCTAATCTACCATATTCACTGCTCACAGCGTGGTCTCCTTTTCAGTGGGGAGATGTCATGCAGGGCGGGTGACCACTTTGGAGAACACCTGTGCTCTGCAAAAATGACCCCGAGCTTCTGGTTGCCTGCCCCTTCAACACACTGCCGTGATTCCTGGCCAACATTCCTGTCACAGGCCTGTAGCAATGCTCCAGCAAGCCTCAGCGCAAGCTCAAGGAACAACACATCATTTTCCACTTGGGGACCCTGCAACTTCAAATTCAATTATTTTAGAGCCTGATTCCATCCTTCCATGTATTTTACCCACCACATATATGTCATGATATATGTCTCGTTATGACATAGATTGCTTTCTGCATAGTCACCCATTCTCACCTACCCCTAGGCCTATTATGTAGGCTGCATTCAGTACAGCTCAACCATCTTCAACTGATACTCTTATTATCACTTCTTCAGCTTTCCTTCTGTCCTGGCCTGCTATCCATATTCTCCTTGTTCATCTATTTGTTTTATATTTTTTTCACTCTCTCCCTCTGGGATCCATCTCCGCCTATCTGCTCACCTCTCCCCATCCCTCATCCCCACCTCCCGCTCCACTGCCCCCACTTCAGCTTCAGCATAACTTACACTTTTCCCAGCTACTAACAGTTCGGACGAAGAGTCACTGGTTAACTCTATTTTCTTCGCACAGATGCTGCCAGAGCTGCTAAGTAATAGTGATAGTCCTATGCAGTTTGAGGGCCTTTGGGGCTTGGTGGTAATCATGCATGATGCAAAGATACACATCTAGTTAGTTAAAGAGTTTATGCTTGCTTCTGCCTTCCAACCGTAACATTGAGACTCAGATGAATTTCACCATTGTAGAAACACTTCAGTGACTATATGGGTTGCCAACATTGAGGTTCTACTTTTTAAGTGATTGTTTTTAATTGATGTCAATGATTTGAGAGTCTTTTTTGTATTATTTTCATCTATATCTTTGCAGAAGTGTGTTACAGCGACAATGGAAGGTTCTATCAAGGTTTGGTAAATGTGACAGCATCTGGTATCCCCTGTCAGAAGTGGAGTGAACAGGTCAGTGTTAGCAGGTACCAAGTTATTGACATTTACGGATTGAAAATAAATAGTGTTTAATATTCATCTGTTTCCATTGTGTCCCTGACCCCTTTCTCTGAGATTAACTTCAACAGTTTGATGAGACTGCAGATTCCCATTACTTACATTGGCATCATGGTTCAGTAGAAATGTTGGCCAGGGAAGGACTCCCCTGGTCTTATTTGAAGGAGTACCTCCAGACAAGCAGAGGTTTGGAGCCGCATTTAACACCTCCTCTGAAAGTCAGCACCTCTTACTCTATTCCCCGGGGTGGGGAATATGGCATAGGTTTAAGGTGAGAGGGGAAAGATATAAAAGGGACCTGAAGAGCAATTTTTTCATGCGTATATGGAATGAGCTGCCAGAGGAAGCGGCTGAGATTGGTGGATTACATTTAAAAGGCCTCTGGATGCATATATAAATAGGGAGGGTTTAGAGGGATATGGGCCAAGTGCTGGCAAATGGGACCAGATTTATATAGGATATCTGGTCAGCATGGACAAGTTGGACTGAAGGATCTGTTTCCATGCTGTATATCTCTATGACTCTAAGAGTCCATGATTTAATTAGCTATGAAGTGTTTTGAGAAGTTGAGTGGTCATGAAAAGTGCTATATAAATGCAACACTTTATTCTTTTTGTTGTAGAGATTGAACCCTATAGTACATTACGATACTACCCCACTAGTATCATGAATCTGCCATGTACACTCAAAAGGGAACAATCATTTTTGGAGTCAATGATTATACAACAAATTAAGAAGGCCTTCCATACTTGACTCGGTTCCCTGAAAACAACAACTTTATCTTTGCTATCCTTTTCTGTTCAACATTTTTTTCTCCAATATCCTTTTAAAAACTGTACATGGATTCTGCTTCTATCACTATTCCTGGTTGAGCATCTTGCATTGGGAATATTTAGCCAACTAGTGCAAACACACATAGCTTATTGAAAACCATTGTAATTTTAAATGTTTCTATTAGCTATCTACAGCTTGAATCTAAGTTTTAAAAAAAAGGCTTGATATCATAAAACATTCCACTGCACTTCACAGGAGCGTTATCTAACAAAATTTCACACCTAGCCACGACATTGGGAGATGTTAGGACAGATGACCAAAATCTTGGTCACGGGGACTGGTTTGGAAGAGCATGTTCAAGGAGAGAGAGGCTGAGAGAATTAGGGAGGGAATTGTGAGCCTGGAGCTTAGGCATCAAAAGCACAACAGGAAATGTTGAAGTGAAAGTAATCAGGGATGTACAAGAGGCCTGAATTGGATAAACACAGTGACCTCTGAGGGATGTAGTTCTGGAGAAGATAAGAGATAAAAGACAGGGAGTGGCCATGGAAGGATTTGAAAACGAGGCTGAGAATTTACTTAAATTGTTCTTTTTGGACTTTCTGTATATCAAAAGCTTTTCATCTTCAAAATCGACTGAACAAGTCTCTTTTGTTTCCTTCCCATGTCACTATACATCCTTCCTATCGTAAGACACCCAGAATTGAATAAGATGCTCAAAATGTGACATGACCAACAAATTGCGTAGGCTCAGCATTATGAACAGAACTTAGCTGGAGTTACTGCTAGTTCAGCCAGATGGTGGCACGGTGGCTCAGTGGTCAGCGCTGCTGCCTCACAGCGCCAGGGACCCAAGTTCGATTCCACCCTCGGACAACTGTCTGTGTGGAGTTTGCACATTCTCCCTGTGTTTGCGTGGGTTTCCTTCGGGTGCTCTAGTTTCCTCCCACAGTCAAAAGATGTGCAGGCTAGGTGGATTGGCCATGCTGAATTGCACATAGTGTTCAGGGATGTGTAGATTAGGTGGGTTATAGGGTGATGGGGTGTCTGAGGGTCGGTGTGGACTTGTTGGGCCGAAGGGCCTGTTTCCACAATGTGTAGATTCTATGAGTTGAAGTCTAGATCTATCACTTGTCTGGTGGCACTGCTGCAAAACATTGAAATCAGCATAATCATGTCCAATAGTCATGTGGAGTTATGAGTAATTATCAGATCCTTAGCCTTCCAGTAGCAATCTGGCTGGTTTTATTTGTATGTAATGCTCTGAAAGTAAGGGTAGAAGAATTTACAGACCCTTAGTCATGTAATCTTCACCTCAGGATGGGAAGAAAATGTCCACTGCTACTGATGGTTTGATTTGGTTTGATTTATTATGGTCGCATCTACACAGATACAGTGAAAAGTATTGTTTTGCGTGCTAACCAGACAAATCATACCTTACATAAGTACATCAGAGTAATAGAACACAAAGCAGAATATAGTGTTACAACCACAGAGAGGGTGCAGAGAAAGATCAACTCTAATGTATGAGATGTCAATTCACAAGTCTGATAACAGCAGGAAAGAAGGTGTTCCTAAATCTATTGGTGCATGTTTTCAAACTTTTGTATCTTCTGCCTGAGGGAAGATGGTGGAAGAGAGTATAACCAAGGTGGGAGGGGTCTTTGATTATGTTGGTAGCTTTCCTGAGGCAGTGGGACGTTTAGACAGTGTCAATGGGGGGAAGGCTGAAATTTGGTTATAAAGGGAGAGAAATTGTCAGTCAATGGATACATTCAGATCTCTGAAAGACTAGGGACAATAAGTTCTGCTCTCACACACCTTTTGAGTATTTTGTTTGTAAGGTCTAAATTTGAAATGTGAATTTGAAGATTGATTGTTGCTGAATGGTCCTGGCTAGCGTCCATAACTGCCTTGTTATGTAACTTGACCTCCACTCCTAAGCAAAATTAGGAACAATACCACCCACAATCTGTGCTATTAAAAAAAAAGCCCCATCTGTGGCCTGGGGGATATACAGGGTAATATGATCTCCAGTGTAAGTGGAACATTTGTTTATATCCTACATTGCGCCAGTCATCAAGAACATAAGAAATAGGACCATGAGTAGGCCATCTGGCCCATTGAGCCTGCTGTGCCATTCAATAAGATCATGGCTGATCTTTTCGTGGACTCAGCCCCACTTATGCGTCCACTCACCATAATCTTTAATTCATTTATTGTTCAAAAATCTTTCTTTACCTGAAAAACATTCAATGAGGAATCACCACCTTTTGGGTGAAGAAGTTCCTCCTCAACTTAATCCTAAATCTTATTTTGAGGCTATGTCCCCTAGTTCTAGTTTTACCCACCAGTAGAAACAACCTCCCTGCTTCTATCTTATCTATTGCCTTTGTATGTTTCTATAACAAATGTGTTTCTATAAGATCCCCCTCATTCTTCGAAATTCTTCTAAATTCCCATTGCAATGCTCAACTTTGACTGACAGATTTCCAATTAGAGAAAACGTTACCCGTTGGACATTGACTGCACTTAGGCTCAACTAGAGGCTGTGATCGTTAAAGAAAGACTTGCATTTGTGTAGCACCTTTCCTGATTCATGACATTTTAAAGCATTTGACAGCAAATGAAGTGTTGTCACTGCTGCCAATTTAGGAAGCGTAGCAGCCAGTTAATGCACAGTAATCTTCCCACAAGCAGAAATGTGAGAATAAGCATCTGTTTGTCAGTGATGTTAGTTGAGGGATAAATATTGACCAGGACAGTGGGGAGAATTGCTCTGGCCTTCTTTGAAGGAGTGCCACAGGAAACTTTATATCCACCCAACAGGGCAAATTGGACTAAAAGGCATTGTCAAGCTGTTGAGCCTGGCTGATTGGCTTTGTGCTCCTGCTGCTCTTACACCAATTTGAAACAAAATTCAAAATGAAAATCTTTGAAGGGGAAGGAGCATGATGAAAATAAAACAGTTGTGAGTGGGATACAATGCGCTATCAGGGACATCGTCCTGTTCCATCATCTACGGGTTGCATGGTCAAGTATTTCTGAATTTTTAATGTCACTTCAATCAAATTTGGCATAGATGCATTTTAAAGCTAGATAAATACATGTGAGAAAAGCATAGAAGATAATTTAATAGAGAGAGATAATGTGGGATGGGAAGAGGCTTAAACCTTGGCATAGACATTTAGGCTAAAAGGGTTGTTATCATTTGCTGGAGACTGTCTATTGGACTCTTTGTAAAATATCCAACTTCATTGAAGTTTCAGTTCCCTCAGAAGCATTCCTCCGAGGAACTGAAGAACAATGGCATACACATAATTGCTTTTGCACTTTAAAATTCCATGTCTGGTTCCATGAGAAGTACATATTCAATTCACAGAAAATGCCATTCTTTACCTCCCAAAGGCTCCCCATTTCCACAGGCGTATGCCAGAGTTATTCCCAGAACTGACCAACTCGGACAACTACTGCCGTAACCCAGGAGGTGAGAGTGAGCGCCCTTGGTGTTATACCATGGATCGAACAGTCAGATGGGAATTCTGCAATGTGCCTCTGTGTACCAATGGTATGTATTTCGACATACGTCAGAGATTTGTGGGAACCGTGATCTTGATTGGAAACACATTGAAATGTTAACTGAGGACTTGGGCTAATATCCGAGTAACACTTTATTAGCTCATATGAAACAAGCTTGTACATTTGTTAAAATGAATAACCTTCATGCACATTAGCAATGCATTTTGCACGATGCAGAGATCTGGACATATCACCTCTGGGTCAGAAGCCTGATGGTTCAAGTCCCCTCCAAAGACATGAGTACAAAATCTGGCATGATGCTTCTTGTAACACTAAGAATGCTGTATATTTGGAGATGCCACCTTGTGAATACAGTGTCAAACCAAAGTACAATCCATTCTCTCAGATTGGGTAAATAATCAGCTGTGGCTTTATTTGGAAGAAAAGCCAGTTGTCCCTGGTGCCCTTGACCAAAATGTATCCCTGAACCAGCATCACTAAAAATACCAGTTTATCTGATGGGCTGTTTTGTGTTGATTGTGAGGTCTTGGCTGCTTTATTTCCATACATCATAATAGTGCCTACACTTCAAAATCGCTTAAATAAAACAAAGAATTACTGTGCTGGAGATTGGAAACACACTAAACCACAGAGGTTCAGAGACCTGCTGAGGTTTTCCAGCAATTTCTGTTTTTGGTGTGTTTCAAAACTGCTTAATTGACTAGAAAGCGCTTTGGGATATGTTGAGATCATGAATTGTGCAACATAAATATGAATATTTCTTTTTCTGTTTTATGTACAAACAGCCTTGGCCAAAGAGGTCAGCACTTCAGGCCAAGCGTTGGAGGCCCTCCTCACTTACCTGGCCACAGCTGATAGCACAGGCTACCCTGTGGAGATGCTCCCTGTACATCACAGTAGCTCAACAGCTGTGGTCACCCTTTAAATTGGAAAGATTTGTTAAGAGGACACTTCAAATAGAGGCACCATTTCTCCCTTAGCTAGAAAGGCAGGTTGTAGCATATTGCAGTTTCTCCATCCATCTTCCAACATCCAGAGCCTACGCACTATCCTTTAAATGAATGATAACTTTGTTCTCTGGCCACTAATTGGCCAGTTAAGATAAAATTCACTGCTTGATGACAGATCCTGACACACTATGGGTTTGGAAACTCTATTTGACCCCAATTCCACAGTCTTGACCCAAAATGTCTATTAATGCATTTACAAATGAATTCCTCCAGTATAAATAAGCATGTCTGTGCTATATACATACTGTCATTATGGCATGAGCTGGATGCTTCAGGATTCATGTTGATAGTGAGTGAGCTCTGAATCTCTGTGGTGATATATTTGAATTAGTCACGTTACACAGTACAGTGCATCAAATGCCAATTTCCCACTCAGAGATGAACACTCCAACCATTTCACTAAAGGGGACATAAATAATCTGCAATAATCATGTGTAAGTCATTGTAACATGTTGTATTACTAAGCAAGAGATAGCAAGAACTGCAGATGCTGGAGTCATTGATAACAAAGTGTGGAGCTGGAGGAACACAGCAGGCCTGGAGGCATCAGAGGAGCAGGAAAGTTGAGACGTTTTGAGTCGGGACCCTCCCAACCCGAAATGTCAACTTTCCTGCTCCTCTGATGCCTCCAGGCCTGCTGTGTTCCTCCAGCTCCACACTTTGTTATCTATCTATTACTAAGCAATATGGGTTTCTAGGCCCGAAATGTCAACCTGTCTGCTCCTATGATGCTGCTTGGCCTGCTGTGTTCATCCAGCCCTGCACCTTGTTGTCTTGGGTTAATCATAGTCAGTTCACTAGGTAAGTATAAAGACACTTGTCAAAATGGAGGAAGAAGCTTTCAAAGAGCTAGTCAAACTAAGTTATGACTAATTCTTATCAGTTGGCAGTAGCATAAAAAGAAACCAAATTACTACTTTACTCAAGGAAAAGTGCAAGTCTGCAATTCTCTTCTCCCGGAAAGCTACCGCACTAGGATGTCAATTAGAAAATTTGAAAACTGAGATTTATAGATATTTTTAATCAATCTATTCAGCCTTGTTATGACACACCTTATGGAGCATGTGGGACTTGTACCAGGCCTTCTGGCTCAGAAATAGGGACACGACTACCACTGACTATTAAGGGTAACGTAGGCAAAGTGGGTACATAGAACATAGAACATAGAACATTACAGTGCAGTACAGGCCCTTCGGCCCTCGATGTTGCGCCGACCTGTGAAACC